CAGGTGGCCCTGTGAGTGCACCTCAGACCATGTGAGAACCAGGCTAACAAACCTCTCAGGTGGCCCTGTAAGTGTACCTCAAACCATGCGAGAACCAGGCTAACAAACCTCCCAGGTGGCCCTGTGAGTGCATCTCAAACCATGCGAGAACCAGGCTAACAAACCTCTCAGGTGGCCCTGTGAGTGCACCTCAGACCATGTGAGAACCAGGCTAACAAACCTCTCAGGTGGCCCTGTGAGTGCACCTCAAACCATGCGAGAATCAGGCTAACAAACCTCACAGGTGGCCCTGTGAGTGCACCTCAAACCATGTGAGAACCAGGCTAACAAACAAACGATATTTACTGTCAAGCAATGTGACTCTCTGATTTTTTTTTGGTCTTCAGGATGACAACATCAGTGGACGTGCTGGTGTCCATCTGCGTGATCTTCGCCATGTCCTTCGTGCCGGCCAGCTTTGTGGTTTTTCTAATCCAGGAGCGTGTCAGCAAGGCTAAGCACATGCAGTACATCAGTGGCGTGCCGCCCTTCCTCTACTGGCTTGCTAACTTTGTTTGGGATATGGTGAGTCTCCAGGAGTCCCAGGAACCTGCACTTCAGGCGTCTTGACTAAGCGTCTAATTGACAGGCGTCTAATTGCACTATTGAGAACTTATGAAGAACTCTGGGTTTGCCTGTGTTCCAGTGTAACTACATAGTTCCTGCAACCCTGGTCATCGTTATCTTTATCTGCTTCCAACAAAAGTCCTATGTGTCCTCAACTAATCTTCCTGTGCTGACACTTCTGCTGCTTCTCTATGGGTGAGTGAATCTGGCCAAGCTATGCTGTAATGGTTTCAAAATGGACAAGCTTGACTCGACTGGGACTTGCGGGTTCAGGTGGAGACTTTTCAGTTATTACTGTATGTTACAGGTGGTCCATCACACCACTGATGTATCCAGCATCGTTCTTCTTCAAGATCCCCAGTACAGCATATGTGGTCCTCACCAGCATCAACATCCTAATTGGAATCAATAGCAGTGTCTCTACCTTTATCCTAGAACTCTTTGGCAACGAAGTGGGTAGCTTTAATTAATAATCCCTATTAAAAAAAAAGCTTAAGGAATGCCTTTGCTAAAGTACTGTTCTTGACGTCAAACTGCCCCGACCATTCTTCGTCTTGCAGGAAATTGGGAATATTATTGACGTCCTCAAGAACGTTCTACTGGTTTTCCCGCACTTTTGCCTGGGCCGAGGTCTAATTGACATGGTGAAGAATCAAGCCATGGCAGATGCCCTTGAGAGGTTTGGTGAGTTATATGATTTTCACACTAAATAGTGCTGCAAACATTGTGAGAGGAGGTGGTCGTCTCTCACATCTACCCTGGGGGTCAAATTGATGTCAGGCTTTTCTCATAGTAAAACAGGCATTGTGGGAGCGTGTAAGAGTTTTGTGGTTTAGAGGGTCTGACGGTAAGATGATCTTCTTGCAGGTGAAATCCATTTCTATTCCCCACTGGCCTGGGACATGGTGGGTAAGAACCTCTTCGCCATGGCGGTGGAGGGCGTCATCTTCTTCTGTATCACTGTACTCATGCAGTACAGTTTCTGCATTAAGGCCAGGTAAGTGCAGCTTAAAGAGAGACAGCTTGTCAGTTGTTATGCTGCATGTTAACTTGAGTCTCATAGACATGATTTTGATAGTGGATATAGTGGCTGTTGTGGCACAGTGTCTATAGTGCAGCTTACAGCTTGGAGGTGAAACTCATAACAGTCTCAAGCCAATGTCATAGAGCTGGTAATTGTACCTGAAGATCAATCATGGAGATCAATGGCAGAAGAATGTTTGCATGGGTCACAGAAACCTAATTCTTCCATGTGCGGCCAAACTCCTGCATTTCATTTATTATACTTATTGTTATAGCAGATCCATAAAATCATGTATATTCCTGCCATGTGTCCCCTTGTCCCCCATCTGCCACATTTCACCACTGACTGCATCACCTGACTCCCTACAGATCATTCCACACCAAGCTAAATCCTGTTGGTGAAGAAGATGAGGATGTGGTAAGGGAAAGGCAGAGGATACTGAATGGAGGAGGACAGGCTGATATTCTGGAACTCAGACAGCTAACTAAAGTGAGGATGGACTCCTATGGTTATTGACTTGAATTAATAATTGCATGATATGCCATGAAAGACCTTTGGGAATACTCAGGGGATTGTGCATGTTGCAGATATACAAGAGGAACCAGAAGCCGGCCGTTGATCGCCTGTGCGTGGGCGTCCCACCCGGAGAGGTATGTGCTTCCTTTGCAGAACATTCTGTTGAAGTTTTAAGCTCCATGGACTGAATATATACAACCTGTTTGTACCTATGTAGTGCTTTGGCCTGCTTGGTGTGAATGGAGCCGGAAAAACAAGTACCTTCAAAATGTTGACTGGAGACTCAGTAATTACATGTGGAGAAGCTTACTTGGATGGAAAAAGGTAAGCGACATATGTATATGTAACCATGCCTCAAATTATGCCTGAAGAACATTATGGCAATATGTTAATCTTTTATAAGACCATATCCTATCTATTATTTTCACCCTTCTCTTGTTCTCTGTGTAGAATATTGTCTTTAGTAACTTTTAGTGGACTAGCTATATTCTGGGACTTGAGTTTTGGCTTGAACCAACTGGAGACTTAATTTGGACTTGCACCTAGCAAGTTGATGTCATTGGTGGCTTTTTGACAGCGTGCTGACAGAGATTGATGAAGTGCATCAGAACATGGGTTACTGCCCTCAGTTTGATGCGGTCAACGACCTTCTGACTGGCCGTGAGCATCTAGAGTTCTACGCCGTGTTGCGCGGGGTACCAGCGAAAGAAGTTTGCAAAGTGAGCAAGCATTTATTTATTTTACTGTGGCAAACAAAGTTAAGGTACACACTGAGATGTGATCCCAGATGTTGGGCTGTGGAGTTGTTAAAGGGTTTCTGAAGGTCAGATTTCTGTTCCAGGTCGCTGAGTGGGGAGTCTGCAAATTGGGCCTACAGAAGTGCACAAACAAGATGGCTGGAAGTTACAGCGGAGGGAACTTGAGGAAGCTGTCCACTGCCATCGCTCTGATTGGAGGACCACGTGTTGTGTTTCTGGTAAGTTCTGAGAGGGAGAAAGCATGAGCTGTCATTCTCTGCACAATAATTAATCTTCCACTCACAATCATTAATCTTAATCAAATTAATCTTAAGTAATATTAATGTTACTTTTCCTACTTAAAATTATAAATGAATAATCATTTATAATTATTGATGGATTAATTACATTTTAATTGTTCCTTTTTGTGAGAGAGTTGCGTGAGTCTTTATGTCAGTTCAGTTCCCAGTTCCCTGGTTATGGCTGGAGTGTTTCGTCCCCTCATAATGCGCCTTGGCTTTGTTTTGCTATGAAGTCACGTGATCCAAATGCATAGCTTTCCCTGTAGGATTTCACTGATGTTGTGCAACAATGCAGAGATAAAAATTCCTGGCATTCTAAATAGGGAAAAATTTGTGGGCAGTATTTTGTGTCTGATGTGCAAGGCATTACTTTTCATTTTAGTGTTAATTTAGAGTTAATTTTGCTTAATGTTTAAAAACAACTCCAGAATTTGTAGGACACTTTTAGCATAAAATGCTAGGATGCAAAAATGTTATTGCTACCATTGTTCCTGGTATTCTGCCTGTTTGCTGCTGACATGTACCTGACCCGTACCTGACCTGTACATGACCTGTTCATTACCAGTACCTGACCTGTACATGACCTGTACATGACCTGTACATTACCAGTACCTGACCTGTACCTGACCTGTACATT